TTCTTTATACATTTGAATTTTTTCGAAAAACTTCATTAAAAAATTCAAAATAATTGAATTGATGCGAAGAAATTTATAAAAGAAATTGGTAAGTAATTGAATTCCTGTTAAATTTTTATTAAAATTTTGTTTAAATAATAGAATTTTTTTAGAAAATTTTATTAAAATAGTAGATATCAAAAATAATTGAAATGAGGAAAATTTTTGAAAATAATTGAAATTTTCCCAAGACTTTTATTAAATTTTTTGAAAATAATTGAATTTTGGAGAAGAATTTTATTATTTATAAAGATAATTGAAATTTGGACGAGAATTTAAAAAAATTTTTGAACATAATTGAATTTATGCGAAGTTATTTAAAACTTATTTAAAAAGAAATTATTTGAAATAATTTGAAATTTTTGAAATTGGACATAGGTATAAAAAGGCCTTTATTACAAAAGAGAATTATGAATTATATAATATATAAATTATGTCATAAATAAATGAATATAAAATTCATAAATTTGTACTAATATTTTGTACCATATACGCGGCGAAAAAAGTATCATTTAATAATGACAAATACGTTCCATTCTTTTTCATCAATGAAAACTGGTATCAATAAAAAACTGGTATCGATTCCAACAACAATGAATTATAATTACCTACAATTTGAATTTATCAACCATCAACGGTTTATTCCCTGTGATAATGTGTTTGTTATAGTCGTTAATTGCGGTACCATATCAATAATTTGAACCATTTATAAAAAAACAAATTTATACCATACGTATAATTAAGTGGCCTCAATTGAATTTAAAGAGCCGTGATGATGACGCTAGAGAATAATCCAAGTTTTATAATTTCATCCATTAAATTCTTAATATTCCTATTAATCTTTCCAATACTTGATAGATTTAATAAATAAATATAAAAGCAAGTTATGTAGTTGTTGTTCTATAAAAAATTAGTTTCATTGCTTGTAAAAAATACGTATTTGGACATTTTTTCTTCATGGGGTAAATAGTCCATTTTGTACCGAAGAAAAAGAAATATTTCCGGAAGAATACCGAAAGTTTTTCCATGTAAATTTTCACCAACTGCTTTCAAAAGTCTTTCAGAAAGTAGTTTCGTAAATATTCCATTATCAGGGTTACCGCAGGTTAGGCAATTCAGGGTAAAATCAGGAATTTTTATTAAAGTACTAAGAAAAATTGAATTTTTGAAAAGTTACAAATGATTGCAGAAATTTCAATTATGTTAAAAAAATTTAAAAAATACTTATCAAAATTTCAATCTTTAAAAATAATCAAATACTTTTCTAAAATTCAATTATTTTCAAAAAATTTCCTCAATTCAATGATTAATGCCAACACTAAATCTTTCTTCTCACAAGCAGTGAATATTTTTCATTAACCAAAAAACTTTCCTTTCAAAAATAGAAAACCACTAAATCTGAATTTAAACCCTATTTTGACATGGAAAATTTGATACGAAGAATTGCCAGAAATCCCGGCACGTGAGAGGACAGTGCAGAAATCATTTTGTTTGGACCTCCGTCCGTATGCGGAATCCCAAAGGGCACGAGGAACCGTATATAACAAAAGGTTTGGAGGGGGATTTAAAAAAAAATACAGTATACGTCAAAGCATACAAGGGACATGAACATTCCCAACAGGTGCCATGCCGTATACTATTGATTGCTATTCCGAGCTGTTCGCATACGAGCGGCGTCATTAAGTTTTCAAAAAAGATTTTATTTTTATTAATTTGTTTAAACAATTGTTGTTAAACAACAAAAAAAAAAAAAAAAAAAACTGGTAAATCTTTTTTTTAGTTTTTTAATACAATGGCTGGTTTCTTCATGGGACTTAATGGGAATAGAATTAAAATTAACTTAAATTTCTACTTTATCAGAATTTTTTATTAATAAAAATTTTTTAAATTAAAAATTTTTTATAATTTTTTATTTTTATTTACACAAATTTTAATTTTTAAGAATTTGTTTTCTGTTTTGGTTTTTGTAACTTTTGACCATATTTTCCATCTCATCAGAAGAAAAAAAAACGCTATTTTCTTCCTTGTAACAAAAAACGAAATATGTATTTGTGAATAAATTAACATGGTGTCTTATAGAGTTAATCAAAAACCTACAAATATAATATTTTTGAAGACATACAACAGTGGAATCTTTTGAATGCATGCGCTGTCATAAAAAAGAAATAATTTACTTATCAAAATTTTAAACATTACATTTCTTTTTTTCAATCCATTGATAATAATACTGGAAATTTTCAGAAAACACGTGTATTGAATTTGAGAAATTGAATAATATTTTACTTTTAACTGCTTTAAAATTTTTCTTTAAAAAATTAACTCTTTTCTGTACTTTTGTATAATTTTAATGAATAATAATTATTGGAAAAAATTGTTTAAACATGTCTTTTTCACGGTTTTGATGTTAGATAATAATTGTTAGGTTAGCAGCATTTCCTCATTAGCATTTATTAGACAAAAGATATTTTCAATTAAATCGAAATTAAATTAAAATTAACTTGAATTTCTACTTAACAGAATTTCTAATTACTCAAATTGCAAATCAATCAAAATTTTTTTAAAGTATAAAATTTATTTTAAAAAATTATATGACAAAAGTTATTTTGTATATATATATAAAATTGGATCAGTGAATTTTCAATTAATGTTTACTCATATTTTCTTCAAAAATAACTTAAAATAAAAAAACAAAGAAATCCAGAAATAAAACACAAACGAAAAATCAAAGTTAGCATCGAAAACCAGTGTTTAAAAATTTAAATTATAAATATTTCGTTTTAATACTGGAGAACTTCAGTGTATATTATTAATTAGGCGCAGAAAAAAATTTTTGCAATGTGATTCGTACGAAAATAAAAAGAATATTAAAAACATGTTTTATACGGATTTTTGTTGAATCTAGTAAAAGATTTGAAAAAACTTGAAATTTTCATTTCTTCAAAGTTAAAATTTTTTTTATTCTTTCCCAAGACGTGGTACCCCGATAAATTTTTATGGAAAATGACTATTTTACATTTAGAAGCTATTCAAAAAATTAAGAGAAAAAAACGTTCAGGTTTTTGAGGAAATTAGATTTTAATTTTTTAAGAAAATTCGCAGTCATTTTGTTAAATTTCAACATTTTTCAATTTAGGTAACTCATGGGTTTTAAAAGAGCATATAAGCTACAATTAAGGATAAAAAGAATGATTTCATTATAGATAAAAGGAAAAAGATAGAACCAGTAGAATCTTTTAAAAATATTTTTAAGTCATTTTCTTACAATCGTACTTTTTAGTTTAAATTCTTGAGGAATTAATTGCTTTGACTTTCAAAAGTTTGAAACATTGAAAAATATTATTTTATTGTAAAAGTATGTTTTTTAGTAGCAAGCAATAAATGCAGCAAATAGAAAGATATAGAACAATACTGGTTTTTAATCTCTAAAAATTTGTGCTGCTCTTTATTTATTAGAAAATTTTTCATTTTATTTCATGCACATTATTTACTGCTTTAAAATTTTGACTTTAAAAAAATATATATAAAGCTGATAATCAGAGACCCTGGAAACTCTGGTGTAATAATGCGTAAAAATATTATTAATAAAAGAAAATATATTTTGTTTACAATTTTTTATTGACAATATTAATTAAATGTCTCATTAATGCCAAATACCTCTACTGCTCGCAATTCGTAATCGATTAAAATTTTTATTTTTTAATAAGCATTAAATTCTAAAGAAACTTGCTAGTCGTTATAATAAGAATAATAAAATTATCGCTAATAGCTTAAATAGTAACAATATCGGCAGCCGGCCATCTTCTATGCAGAAACAGGAATTAATAAATGATCGACACAACCCTTAATTTTCTTATATTAAAAATTTCTTTATTTGCATTGACTTCTCACTACAAAACTATAAGTTCTCTATACAGTCTATACACAAAAAGAAACGAGCAAAAAAGATTATTTTAATCCTAGAATGATTTAAACATTGCATCTTATTTTAATCCATTTTGTTGTTAAAATAACACCTTAAAATCTAGTGGAAGCCAAATCGTCCTCTTCATTAGAATTAGGAGAAGTATTCTCTTTCTCTCTATCTAATAGTTTCGATAAATCTCATGATTCTTCATCCATTAGATCATCTTCAGGTTTCGATAAAACAATACGACGTGGCACCTGTGAAATCGGCTTCAGCTTAGCTCCTTGAATTTGAGACCAAAGATGGCCCCTTGGATGAACTCTCTGTTGACAAAAATTATACATAATTATAGTAAACATTACATATTCTTTTGAATGAAAAACTATATTTAAGGTAATTCAGAACGTATTATGTACCTTTGAAATCGGCTGCAGCTTAACTCCGTGAATTTGAGACCAAAGCTGGCTCTTTGAATGAACTCTCTTTTGACAAAAATTATACAAATTTGTAGTAAAAATGTAAAAGATACTCATTTATTAACCATGATTTTAGTTCTGTGAAAGCATTGTTATCATCGAAAATGTCATTCTTTTTTAAATACCAATGCTTTAAATGCATTATTCAATTCATTTGTTTTATCAAAATTTGATTACTGTTCATTTGTCAGGCATACTGACATACAATATCTTATTGATAGTTTGGAAGCATGTCATAAAAAGTTTATAAAATTTATTAATTGGAACGTCAATGGATTTTACCCTTTAGATTCGGATTATTCTGAACTATGTATATTAGATTTAAAACTCATTGTATTCGGGACAGGAATGATATTCTCCAGTTTCTTTACCTTTGAAATCGGCTTCAGCCTAGCTTCTTGAATTTGAGACCAAAGATGGCTCCTTGGATGAACTATCTGTTGACAAAAATTATAAAAATTTATAGTAAACATTACATACTCTTTTGAATGAAAAACTATTTTTAAGGTGATTCTGAATTGACAGGAAGTAATTGATGACCCTACAAACACCCATTTTGTTGATTATATGTGTATCATTACCTCATCTGAAGCAGAAGCAGCACCACCCCAAGCACCTTCTTTGTCTTCCTTTGAGATTGAAACATTGGATTCAGTTTTCTAAAGAAGGAGAAAAAATATAACTGTAAATTATGAAGTACTATTACGAGATTCACCGGAAAGTGATCACCATTATTACTTACAGTCGATTCATAATTTATCAATTCCTTCCAGAAACTTGATGGAAGTTCCAAAAGTTTCTCAATGATCTACAATAGAAAGAAAAGAAAAAAAACTATTGTCATTTAATTCTAAAATTAAAAACTTAATGATTTGCAAATTTTGAAATTAAACAATTATCTGCCTTCGTTTGTTGGTTATTTAAAGCAGCGGCTGCCATTAGGTCATCATACTGAGAATTCATCAAAGTTGGTCCAAAGACTATACCAATGTTCTTAGGATTCATTCTATTTATCTCCTTCTTTTCTACTACTTTTTGCAAGTGTACCATTAAGTAAGCAAGAGTATCTCGAATATCTTGTGGAAGTTTAATTATTATATCTGTAATTTTATTTTTCAAGTCTTCCGAATTTTCCATTTTCAAGGCATCTGAGAGTTGATTGAATGTTGTTTCATCGATAAGTGATGGTCTCAAATTCCTAAAAAATTTTATTTTTCGTAATTTCTCTCTCATTACATTATAGTAAATGTTTTGTGAATAAAAATTTACCGGAAAAGTTCTTTGAGATATGATGTAATTGCAGTTACATCATATTGCGATATATCCGTGTCTAAAAATTGACAATCTTTTTCCAACTTTTGTACTTCAGTTTTACTACCAGATAAGCGATACAATCCTTCATGTTCCAGTCCAGATCTTTCCACTTCTTCTACCAATTTTTTTATAAGTGGATGTACCAATAACCTATTAATGCGACGATCAATTCTACCCTAAATGTAATCAGTTTTTGTAAATTTCTTTAAATTCACAAAGAAACCCGCGTAACAAAATGTTGACTATCTCAAGGCTCAATTAAAGCTCAAGATTTGCTTGAAGCTGAAACTTTGTCTATTACTTCCCAGTGTGCACATTTCGGAACAATTCCGGAACCGTTCTGTAACTGTTCTTTATTTTCATTAACTGTTACAGAACAGTTCCAGAACGTGCACACTGGGTTAAGATTGGCCTAACACAAGTTTTGAGCTTTAAGTTAGCCTTTAGCCTTGAGAGGGTTTTTTCCAAATAATGGAAAGAGTCAGGCAAAGTATGGGCAATGGCTAGATACAATTTTTTACTTTTCTATCAAATTTTATGTGCCCATTTTACAAAAATTTAAAGAAATTTGTTACAAAAACTTATAAATTTTTTAAAAACTAATATGATTGGCAATATCATAATTTTCAAGATTTTGACTTTACCTTAAAGAATGGAAATTGCACAAAAATTGTTTCTAGCCATTGGTACACAGTTTTCTGGAAAGTATCATTTTATTTGGCAACGTTTTGATACTGTATAATGTATCAAGTTGATACGAATATAACTATCTTTTTTAAGAATGATAGTCAATACAGTATCATTTTTTGATACGTGTATTTGTATCAATGTAATACTGTCATGGCCGGTTCGCATTAACTTGAAATTTAAGTAATCAATTTATTTAGTTTTATATACTCTTATGTATTAAAAATTGTTTTATTTTACATATTAACAGTGACAAATGTGAGAAATTATATAAAATGAGCACATTATTTAGAAAAAACTTGTATTGAAATACACTAACCTCAATTCACGTTGTTGTGACATTTCGATTAAAGGTAACTTTACAATTTCTGGAGATTTTTGGCTCAAGGTATAGGGAAATATTTAAGGGTGCGTTCATTCCGTTCTTAATAGTATGTATTTAAAATTTGATTATTACTATTGCTGATGAATTCGATGTTATTTAATATCAAATGGTAAATAATTATAATTTATGTTATATATATATAATAATAGTGGTTTTCGTTATTTGATGTTTAATAATTTTTTATATATTTAACTGTGTAGGTCGATATTTTTAGAAAAAATATCAGTATAAAAGTGACAAAATGTAGTTTCCAGTGAATATAGGGTGTTTTAAATAGAATATTTAGTGAATAAAAAAAGGAAAAATTAGAAAAACTTATTATATTTGACAAAAGTAATCATTAAAGCATTTATTTATTACATATTTAGAGCAGATTAATGTTTACTTATTGAATAATTAATGTTTAAAGTTGGAGATGTCAGTTCTACCGTGAGATGTATGCGTGTGTGTGTAAAGCGATAATAATATACTACTGATATATCGCCGCGCATTTGTCACGACAGATGGCGGGACTGACATTCGAACTGCTTTCTGTTTTATCACATTCAAAACAAGAAATAGGAAAACCAACTTTTCAAGATGAATTTTATTTAAATCAATTCTAGAAATTGATATTGAAATTAACCTTTTTTTAATTTAATTGCTTACAAAGACAATTATTAGTATATTTAATAAAATATGAAAAATAAAAACGCAGAAATAAATAAATAATTATACTAAGAAAGATAAAATAGGCAATTTTTTCCCGTTTTCTTAAAGTTATTAGAAAATCTAATTTTTCAAAATGCAATTTTTTATTTGTTAGTTGAGTTAAATATAACTGAAAATCAATTAAAATAAAATTGAAACTTCTTCTTTTTAAAGAAAACTATTTTTTTTGTGGCTTCAATAGAACAAAATGGAGAAAATATTAATATTTAAAAATATAAAATTTAGTCCCAACCCCCAAAAGATAAAATAGATGTTTAAGACCAATTAAAGTAACATTTAAACTCCTCCCTCTTAATAAAAGCTTTTTTTATTAGTTTGTTCAATAGAACAAAATGGAGAAAATATTAATATTTTAAAATATAAAATTTAGTCCCAACCCCCAAAAGATAAAATGGATGTTTAAGACCAATTAAATTAACATTTAAACTCCTCCTTCTTAATAAAAGCATTTTTTTATCAGTGGGTTCAATAGAACAAAATGGAGAAAATATTAAACTTCAAAAAATATAAAATTTAGTCTCCACCCCTCACAAAAAAATTGACTGCTATTAGCCAATAAAAAAAGATTTAAACTCCTCCTATTTTCAAAATCAACTTTTCTATTTGTTGGTTAAGTTAAACAAAATAGAGAAAAGATTAATATTTGAAAAATAAAACGTATAATTCCAACCCCCAAAAGAAAAAATAAAGTCTAGTAAACAATAAAAAATTAAATTAAAACTCCTCCTATTTTTTCGGAAAGGTTTGTGGTTAAATTTTATATTTTTAAAAAAAAAAGTTGAAAATAAAAAAAAAATAAAAAATAAAAAAGTTGAAAATAGGAGGAGTTTAAATGATAATTTAATTGGTCTTAAACATGCATTTTATCTTTTGGGGGTGGGGACTAAATTTTATATTTATAAATTTTAATATTTTCTCCATTTTGTTCTATATTGAAGCAACAAATCAAAAAAAGGTTTCTTTAAGAAGGAGGAGTTTAAGTTTTATTTTAATTGGTCTAAATCATCCATTTTTCCTTTTGGGGATTGGAATAATATGATTTATTTTTTAAATATTAATTTTTTCTCCATTTTGTTTAACTCAACCAACAAATAGAAAAATTGATTTTGAAAATGGGAGGAGTTTGTTTATAATTCTTATTGGTCTAAATCATTCATTTTTTCTTTGGGGATTGGTATTATAGATTTTACTTTTCAAATATTAATTATTTTTTCCATTTTGTTTAAGTCAACTATAACAAATAAAAAATTGCATTTTGAAAATAGGAGGAGTTTATTTTTATTGGCCAGAAGTCTTTTTTTCTTAATGGGTCAAGAATAAATGTAACTTTTTAAAAATTAAATATTCACTCCCTTTTTGTAAAGTTGAACCAACGAATAAAAAAAATTGCTTTCTTAAAGTAGGAGGAGTTAGAATCTCATTTTAATTGGTCTAAAAATTAGATTTTCTAATAACTTTAAGAAAACGGGAAAAAATTGCCTATTTTATCTTTCTTAGTATAATTATTTATTTATTTCTGCGTTTTTATTTTTCATATTTTATTAAATATACTAATAATTGTCTTTGTAAGCAATTAAATTAAAAAAAGGTTAATTTCAATATCAATTTCTAGAATTGATTTAAATAAAATTCATCTTGAAAAGTTGGTTTTCCTATTTCTTGTTTTGAATGTGATAAAACAGAAAGCAGTTCGAATGTCAGTCCCGCCATCTGTCGTGACAAATGCGCGGCGATATATCAGTAGTATATTATTATCGCTTTACACACACACGCATACATCTCACGGTAGAACTGACATCTCCAACTTTAAACATTAATTATTCAATAAGTAAACATTAATCTGCTCTAAATATGTAATAAATAAATGCTTTAATGATTACTTTTGTCAAATATAATAAGTTTTTCTAATTTTTCCTTTTTTTATTCACTAAATATTCTATTTAAAACACCCTATATTCACTGGAAACTACATTTTGTCACTTTTATACTGATATTTTTTCTAAAAATATCGACCTACACAGTTAAATATATAAAAAATTATTAAACATCAAATAACGAAAACCACTATTATTATATATATATAACATAAATTATAATTATTTACCATTTGATATTAAATAACATCGAATTCATCAGCAATAGTAATAATCAAATTTTAAATACATACTATTAAGAACGGAATGAACGCACCCTTAAATATTTCCCTATACCTTGAGCCAAAAATCTCCAGAAATTGTAAAGTTACCTTTAATCGAAATGTCACAACAACGTGAATTGAGGTTAGTGTATTTCAATACAAGTTTTTTCTAAATAATGTGCTCATTTTATATAATTTCTCACATTTGTCACTGTTAATATGTAAAATAAAACAATTTTTAATACATAAGAGTATATAAAACTAAATAAATTGATTACTTAAATTTCAAGTTAATGCGAACCGGCCATGACAGTATTACATTGATACAAATACACGTATCAAAAAATGATACTGTATTGACTATCATTCTTAAAAAAGATAGTTATATTCGTATCAACTTGATACATTATACAGTATCAAAACGTTGCCACAACTTGATCTGCAATATACTATCAATTTGATACTTTTCATAAAACTGTGTAGAATCAATATTGCTAATGAGCGAAACCAATGGTTTAAGAATAGAGACAACAAAATTTAATTTTTCATTTAATCAACTGATATAAACACAAAACCTAGGCTAAATGAAATCCTGCGCATAATTTGCGCCAATGTTGCGATTATTAGGTTCCGGAACCAGAAATTTTTTTTTACTTATACATGTTACTTCAAACGACAAATGAAGAAATTTCCAACAGTTTTTGGGTGGGACAATATAACAGGGCGCTAGATAGGCATATTGAAAATCTATTATGTTGTATAAAACGAACTCCGGAACATGAAAAATGTTAAAACTCCAGTATTTAAATTAAAATGGAAACTAATTCTAATTCCAATAATTTTGAGATCCCTGGTAAAATTTTCAGACTAATTCCGGATTAAATACGGACATATTAGTACGGATTAGTCCGAAAATTGTACGAAAAAGGTCTGAAAATGATCCGCGCTAGTTTGATATCAATCCGAATGAAAACCTGAATCCGAAAACACTCCGGAGTAATCCTGAATGTCTACGAATTCAGTCCGTAATTAGTTCGCAACAATCCAAATTTATGACTGGTGAAGAATTCTTCTAAAATAAGAACGGAATCATCGGAAATCAATATGTAAAGAATACGGAATCAGTCCGCAACAATCCGAGCTTAATCTAGTTAAAAAAAACTTAATCCGCAAAATGTCCGGAGCAATCCGAACTCTGTAAGCAAGAAATCCAGTATTAGTCCGCAACAATTTGGAATTAAGTGTATCAAAATCCT